ACACATAGATGCAACACTGTTCATTGGTTGAAAACAAAGATGTAGGGACATTTTTTGAAATCTTTTATGACATGTTTCTCTTCCAAATAGCTAAATTAGAAACAATTAGGACAATTATGTCTTTGATATAACTGTTGGCAGTTTATCTGAGACATGATTGGTGCAAGTACAACAACACACATAGGACAATGGTCTTTTCTCCACATGAACGTGAAACAAAGGTGAAGTATTAAAGTTTGAAACTAATTTACATTTTTAAGGAATCCGAACTGGCTTTAAAAAAAAAAAGGGAAAAACATTTATTGCACGTGCATGAGTTTTTTTGTTAAGTAACAAGAGCTCATTAAAAATATAGGGGACACAGTTTGTGACAAGCCCGAGTAAAGACCACGTGGTTTAAACACTAAAGTTTGAAATGGATCCTTTTAGGAAAAATCTCTCAAAGCTTTGCATGTTCTGCAGGCTCTGAAAGTTGCAACTATAAAATAGCTCATGAGACAATTGTAATTGGACATGGAAAAATATAACAAAGTTAAAATTACAGGCCTCTTGTGTATGTTATATGTTTGTGTATGTTATATGTTTGTGTATGTTATATGTTTGTGTATGTTATATGTTTGTGCGTCATGTCAAATACACTACGTTGACCTTAACAAACTGGACCAATACTAACGTGGGGTGTTGTGAGTGTGTTGTGAGTGTGTTGTGGAGTGAACTGAGGAATGCTGAACGGAATCATGGAATAACAAAAGTTTTCTGTAATGTTTTAATGTGATCATGGAATAATTATTTTTTGTCAACAGCATACGGTGTAAGTACTAGAGATTCAAAGATGACAAGCTTTATTGAACAGGTGTAAAAGTGAGAGTACTCTGGGATGAGTACTCTGAGAAAAGTACTCTGCGGAAAGTACTCTGAGATGAAATACCTTGCTGAAGGTACTGGGAGCCCCTCCCTCTGCTGTTTGTCCGGACAGTGATTCGGTCCAACCGCAGTGAGCTGTCGTGGGTTGAAGGACAACTTTGGTTTGTAATTCACATTTAGGGGAGTATGAAATAAGAAACATACATTTTGTTAAGTCTGTATTTGGCTACAGCCTCTGCCCTGATGTCACACACCGTCTGTCAATGCAGTTATGTTTTGCCCAATTGGATTGATTGACAGGCCGCACCATGCGAAGAGAGGAAAGTGGGCGTTTCTTGTGTTCTAATGTTTGTTTTTCAGATGAAAGATAAACTGCACCTGCTTCAGGGATAACACAGTAGTATGGATCATGAGGAAAATGAGCCTCTACTTTGGCACCGAAGCCCACAATATGAATTGAGGACGATCCGGGAGGAACAACTGAAGATGATTGGAACAGTAAATCTACACACACACAGACGCATGTTTTATACTTTGGACCACGACCAACAGAGGGGAGTATTGTATTGTCATAGGTGGTCATGGTCCTTAACCTTCTAAATCATTAGAAAGAAGTGTAAAACATATATCTACAAGAACAAATAAATAATAGAAAGGGCAGCCTAAAAAAAGCAAAATGGGAAAATTATTAAGTAATTTTCGGAGTTGCCAAAATGAAATAAAATTCTATATTTGTCCCATAGGGGGTCATTCTAAATTTAGTGTTGTGCAAATTCAAAAGGAGAAATAATAGCGCTTATAACATCAAACAGATCTACTCTTTAAGATAATAGATCATATAATAATAAGATAATAATAGAATAGAATGAAATAGTCTGGAGCTATAATGTCATTGGATTCGAGGAGCTATAGGTTTAGGGGTGTCAGAATAAACAATAGTAATAATAGTTAGACTAGTGAATAATCAAAATAGTTCTATTGTGGAAATAAGTATCAATAAGGTCAAATTGTTCTAATAACTAAAGTAAAAAGGAATCAAATGGAGTCAGATTTTAGATGTTTCTGTTTTCCACATCTGTAGGAATTAGTGCAGATGTGTTTATAGAGAGTAGTATTAAAATGCAGACATAGAACGACAGGCTTTAACACAATTTTAAATCTAAAAATAGCTCAAATATAACATTGCTCTTGATGCAGCCTCTGAGCTGCTCCATTGGAGAACAGGTTAAATGTTATTGTTTATTACAAACAGCTGATGTATTTACACATATTAAGTTTGGGACAACTCTTTAAACAGTTATAAGCAGCGGACAGAAGCCATGAATGTGCTTTTGTTTATTAAATAATTAATTTCATAGCCTTATAATCGTAGAGAACGTTTTAAAATAGTTAAAATCCCTTTCAGGCAACTTGATTTAGATTTATGTCTTTAATATTGGAGAACGACTGTGTTGTTTTTGGAATTGTCTGAAATACAATACATAGAATAGTGATTTGCAGAACAAGAACCGGCCAATAAAAAATCGTCTATTGCCAATGCAATTGTTACAATCAGAACTCAAAAGTTGGGAATATGCTTTGGCTCAAACTACAACCAAGATTTGGAGTCACAATAGAGTGTAAAATAGATAGATGCTTTCAAAAATAGAGATTATTTTTAGACAGGGCTAATATCAAACGGTAAAAGGACCATTTCCTTCATATTATGTCTAAAAGTATTTACTTCAAAGGTAGATAAAGTTCATTACAGTTTATGCACAGTTTTATTAGATACTGTCAAATTCACTTGTTTCAAACATAGGTGAATGTTGACAATGCAAAAAGCTAATGAGATAGATTAATGAGATCGATTAGAACCAACACAGATTCAAAAACATTTGAAAGCATTTTAATGTATTTGGGTATAGCACAAAAGTAGATCTTTAGGTAGTTTTGAGAATTTTAAGAGCTGTCAATTTGTCAGCAACAGATTAGAGAATCAAAATACCGTTGTATAGGGACTAACCCCAGAGAAACCTGCTAAAATAGATTAGCTCCTGTACGGATAATACCAATTTGATTAACGATGTACATTTATCCCAAACGGTCTGAGAGGAGGAAGTGACAGCACTTCCTGGTTCAACAAAATGTGTTTGGAAAAATGAGCAAAGCCCCACAAAATGGCACAGAGCCACTGATAATGACAGCAAACCACAGTATAGATAGATTTATTAGATAAAAACATATGTTTAAGAATATGGCTCAATAAAAGCAAAGATGCAAACATATTGGTAAATAGATTAGGATAGTTTAAACTATAGTGAATAGTTTTAGTGCATACATTACAGACGAGGTTGAAGAAGAATCAGAATGACAGCAGTGGTCATCAAAGAGTTTAGTGAAGGAATGTTTCAATGTGGTTGTGTGTTGTTCGTCTTCCTGTATTAACTCTTCACAGATATCGAGCCAGAACTAGGATGATGGAATCTCCCCAGTCCCGTCACCCAGAGAATATTGAAAGATTGTGACCTATTGGTTAATATAGGTCAAAAGAGGGACTGACGAATATTCACAAAATGCTGCACATCAGACAAAGGAATATGCACTCAGGAATCATAAGAGATGACCAGCTTACAAAACCAGACAATTATTGACTCCAAGAATAAACAAATGCTCTCTCCCACTCTCGACGAGGGCAAAAGTCCAACACAATCAGGCGCCCAGTGGTGGGGGGCATTGTTTGCTCAGGTGGAGAGGGAAGACCAAGACCGGGTCCAGACCAGGGGCCAGACCAGTCCCAGACTGTGACGTCATCGGACCCTTTGATAGAAACTGCTGGGAGGAGATTGGCAGTCAGTCAGCCGAGGGCCAGGAGAGGGACATATATAGTTTTAGGAGCACTTTTTGTTGAATATTCTGTATCTGATTGTAAAGATAATTAAATGCAGATGTTAAACGTGAAGATCTCTTGTCTCGCTCTTGCATCGACTTTGGATACGTCAGTCAAAGGGAATTATTGACTTCAACTGTAATACCAATACCTGCATAGACTGATTATTAACAGTTCCATTTTTTATGTTTGAATTATGCTGCTGAATTACTGATTTTGGTATCATTGTCAACAATTACTGTATTTATTTTCTCAAAGGATAAGATATCCTTCTCATTTATATGTTATTCCAATGTATTTAACCATATGCATGTACATTTGGATTTAAAATACCTATAGGACATGGATATTACATGGCCTAAGTAAAACCATTTAAAATGTAGGTGAATCCTCTAAAGTTGGAACCAATTGACCAGTTTGCTAAATTAATTTAAAACAAATAATATTCTGAAATATGGCATATAGGCTTCTACAGATTTGTATGCTTTCATCGTCACCTTGTTAATATATACAGTCTAAGGTTAAAACAGAAAAATTGACACTCAGATACTGGCTCACAAGGCTCTTTCTCACTAGTGTGCAATGGTTTTTTTCTAACAAAATGAAGACCACATGTTGTTGTCTGATTTGTTCAATTTACTTTTTACAAGCATATTAAATTAAACAAACCCAAGCTTTAATGTGTCAGAATGATGTTATTAAGATCAGTATTCTCATGCATTACTGTCATTTTAGGTTAGGTCTGAAATTGTGTCAATGTGTTTTATTTTGAAGAGCCCTTTTATTTTTCCACTTCCTGTGAAGTGTTTATGCTCCGACTTCCTGTTGCGGTCTAACCAAGATGTACATTTCACCTCGCTAATTATAAAGTGACACAAAGGAGACCATACTGCTTATGAAAACATGTCTGAAGAACAAGGGAATGTTGAAGAGAACGCTGCAAGCTCCAAGTTTATGGGCCCATGCATTCTATCGAGACAGGTGGGAGATGGCTGAGGTCGGATTAGCTGAGACGAACAATGGCAAAGTGGCGATAAACAATCCATAATATGAAGTTCTGATCACGTGGGGATACGCGTGTTGCTACGTGCTGCCATGACAACACTTTCTCATTCTGCACGCCAAAAGCAGGTGCGTTACTGTAGCTTGTAACTTCTCCACAAACCTTATGGCTACAAAGTGAATGAGATGACAACATTGTAACGAAGATAACTCACAGATTGTTTGCACTTGTTTCAGGTTTACAAGAAGATATTTTACTGTAACAATGTCCAACCCGCTCTCGCACCTGGGCAGAGGTAAGGCCGCTAAACTCAACCTTTTGGACATCTATTTCAAATCCTTGTCATATTTCACAACCCCATCTGCAAACATTAGTAAATCAGTAAGTAAGTAGTCCTAAACATGTGACAGTAACCGGCTTTTCCCGTCATTTGGATGATGATCTTAACTTTGACGTCAAAACGCATGGTAGACTTTTCAAACTCTGATTTCGTAAACTGTACTGTGGAAACCTGGATTAAATGGGTTATATTTGCAGCGTAGTGTGCGGGCTAACCATTTGTTGAGAAATATGTGGCGAAACATTAGTATTTCTTTAATTGTGGGTCAAAGTTCACAACATTACTGTGAAAACAAAATGGCGCCTGTCGATGCAATGTGAAATCACCATGGCAACTCTACTGCAGATGTGAGAAGGCCTTTGAGTTTGAGATTAAACGTGAGGCATAGCATAGTCTGAGTTTAGTTTGAATTAAATCTTGGTTTTCACTCCTGTCCCATGAAACAACTGTCCATTATCTAAATGAGATCAGAGTTGGGAAGAATATGTTTTCCAGTGTATTCTGCAGGATTTAACTGCAGAATGTTGAATACATGCATTCACATGCATTATGTGATGTATTCTGTTGCCTGTTTGTTAGAGCTGTAGTCTGAATACTTTGAAATAGTTGATTTGCTATTAGATTACAGTGCAAATAAGGCAGCATAAGATTCATACATGCATGCAGAACTGAAAATGACGTTTTCACGTTTTAAATGGTACCATGACCCTAATGAGAAACCTAAATATCCTGGTTACATACTGAAACTTGAACAAATGCATGCACTGTACTGTACAATAAGTCACTTTAAGTCACTTGCATTAGTGAAATTATATCCTGCTTTTAAACATGTTTGCACAATTATTTCTTTTGCACAATTTTGAGTGATTCTATCCATGCCAGATGTGACATGTACATTTCTACTTTATGAGATCAATAGAGTCTATTTTATCTCATTGGCCATGAGTCCCTTTTTACAGCCAGAGAAATTATTTTTAAAATTCCATCTGAATATAAATGAATGTCTTTTCTTAGGGGACTGCGCCGTCCTGGATCCGGATCCTGGAGACCTGGTCGTGGACCTTTCTGGGGGAGACTACGCTGTTGTTTGGGGTCAGTTCCTCTTTCAACTGGTATAGAATGTATAGAGCTGCAGCTCGGGAGGCCACAATTCATAGAAGTCACGATGCAATGCATATTTATATTGAATGGTTAACATTTTAAGTTGCATTCAAGGAATGAAACTTAAAGCAGAATATGAGCACTCCTGTTCAAGTGTTTTCAAATAGTGAACTGTTCTATAGGCCTCCACACACTACTGAATGTGTTCCTGAGCTCTAAAAGACAAACTGTTTAGAATCGATGCTCGTCTGTGGGTGCCTTATATGTGATATGTCCTATTTGTACTTTTGTACTAACAGCCCAAATAAACCAAATAGATAAGTGAAGCCGTACTGATGCTAATCTTTTACACATGTGAGGGGGAAGTTTAATGTGAGTGTATTGATTGATGTTGGTTTTCCTCATGCAGCCCCTGGGGTCTTGGAGGACCTGGAGGACCCTCTGCCTCTGGAGGCTGCTGCTCTTCTCCCGCCGCCCCCTGAAGAGGACCCAGGGGAGCCTGGGATCTTGGTTCCTGGAGGTGATGGGGTTCTAATCCGCATTCCTCCACAGGAGCTGTCCCATCCACCTGTGGAGGTCCAGGCCAGGTCTCCTTCCCCCTCTCCTCCTATTCCTGTTTCTGTCCCTTTAGGTGGAGCTGCGTTTCCCCCTGTCCTCTTCCAGGACTTAGACGAGATGACTTTTCAGCCTCTGACTCCTGCTCCTCCCTCTCCTCTTCTTATCTCCTCCCCCTCTCCCCCTTCCTCTCCTGGTTCCTCTTCAGGTAAACGCCACAGGAGGGACGACACTGAGGCCATCTACAAGAGCTGCTCTTCTCCTGTTATCTCTGTCTCCTCGTCTCCTTTCACTTCACCCCTCCCCTCTCTTCCTTCTTCTCCTCTGACTCTCTTTCCTTCCCCTGTTTTCCCCTCTGTCCTCTTCCAGGATGATGGAGAGACCACCGTGAGGAGGCAACGCTGCTCTTCGGCTGTTATCTCTGTCTCCTCGTCTCCTTTCACGTCTCCCCTCCCCTCTCTTCCTTCTTCTCCTCTGACTCTTTCACCTTCCCCTGTTTTCCCCTCTGTCCTCTTCCAGGATGATGGAGAGACCACCGTGAGGAGGCAACGCTGCTCTTCTCCTATTGTTATTTCTTCTGTCTCCTCATCTCCTTTTACCTCTCCCCTCCCCTCCCCTCCTTCTTCTCCTCTGGCTCTTTCACGTCCCTCCCCTGTTTTGTTCCAGGTCCCAGAAGAATTGACTTTTCGGCCTCTTTTTCCTGCTCCTGCTCCTGCCTACCCCTGTCCAGTTTACTGCCCTACTCCTCTTCTCTTCCTCATCTTCCTCCTCCAGCTCCAAGAGGAGGCGCTGATAACATACACAACGGTGTATGATTTCAAATAGTTTGTAAATAGTGTTGTTGTTGTGTGTTTTTAGTTTGCATTGTTGCTCCAGCCACATTTGGCACTTTTTGATGTTCCAGCCACGTTTGGCACATTTTGATGTTCCAGCCACGTTTGGCACTTTTAGATGTTCCAGCCACATTTGGCACTTTTAGACGTTCCAGCCACGTTTGGCACTTTTAGACGTTCCAGCCACGTTTGGCACTTTTAGATGTTCCAGCCACGTTTGGCACTTTCAGATGTTCCAGTCATGTTTGGCACTTTCAGATGTTCCAGCCACGTTTGGCACTTTCAGATGTTCCAGTCATGTTTGGCACTTTCAGATGTTCCAGCCATGTTTAGCTGCAGAAGCTTCACTCAATGCTCACAAGATCTCAGTTGAGCTCAGAAGGACTGATCTGTGTCGGTCTCTGGGCAGTTTGACAAATCTGCGACTAGACAAAACAGAGGCCTTGGCACCACTACTAGTGCCAAAAACAGCCAGGCCAACTCTGGAGTCTAATGACAGAAATTACTATATCCAGAGGAGTGTCAGCCGACCTCTGGAAAGACAACACCACAGTGTCCAGAGGAGAACCAGCAGAACTCTGGAAAGACAACACCACAGTGTCCAGAAGAAAACCAGCAGAACTCTGGAAAGACAACATTTATTTTCAACTCAGACCACCGAGTGTCAAGAGAACTATGGAAGAGACAGATATCACTGTCTTCAGAGAAGAAGTCATGGCAGCCTGTAAAGTTGTCCTCCACTGAACTGACTCCGAACTCCGGCTCTTAGGAACCACCGACAGCAGCTCTCCTGTTGAGTCTGTAACACAGACATCAGTGTGTCCAGAGCCTGATGAACACTGGAGTCTGGAACACAGACATCTGTGTGTCCAGAGCCTGATGAACACTGGAGTCTGGAACACAGACATCTGTGTGTCCAGAGCCTGATGAACACTGGAGTCTGGAACACAGACACATCTGTGTGTCCAGAGCCTGATGAACACTGGAGTCTGGAACACAGACATCTGTGTGTCCAGAGCCTGATGAACACTGGAGTCTGGAACACAGACATCTGTGTGTCCAGAGCCTGATGAACACTGGAGTCTGGAACACAGACATCTGTGTGTCCAGAGCCTGATGAACACTGGAGTCTGGAACACAGACATCTGTGTGTCCAGAGCCTGATGAACACTGGAGTCTGGAACACAGACATCTGTGTGTCCAGAGCCTGATGAACACTGGAGTCTGGAACACAGACATCTGTGTGTCCAGAGCCTGATGAACACTGGAGTCTGGAACACAGACAATGCATTTGCCCTTTTTTCAAATACATCTTCAATGTATCTATTTTATTTAATGTGTCCTCGCTTTTTGTGTGAATCACTTTGAATGTAACTGGGAATGAATAGTGCTATACAAATAAATGGCCTTGAAATGAAAGGACAGAATGTGGTTTGAGGCTGTTCTTTTATATGTTATGTGTTTCATGTCACTAACACGAAAACAGTGACGTCGCCCGGCATGGCGCAGCCGGGGCCCCACCCTGGAGCCAGGCCTGGGGTCGGGGCCCGTATGCGAGCGCCTGGTGGCCGGGCCTTAGCCCACGGGGCCCGGCCGGGCTCAGCCCGAAGGGATGACGTGGGCAGTCCTTCCTGTGGGCCCACCACCTGCAGAGGGGTCCGTGGTGAAGCGGTGCAGAGAGGACTGGGCGGCAGTCGAAGGCGGAGACCTCGGCGACCCAGTCCGCACACACAACATCTGGCTCTTGGCACGTGGAACGTCACCTCACTGGGGGGGAAGGAGCCCGAGCTCGTGGGGGAGGTTGAGCGATACCGACTAGAGATAGTCGGCCTCACCTCCACACACAGCTTGGGCTCTGGAACCCAACTCCTTGAGAGGGGTTGGACGCTCCACTTTTCTGGAGTTTCCCGCGGGGAGAGGTGGCGAGCTGGGGTGGCCATTCTCATTGCCCCCCATCTCAGCCGCCACGTGTTGGAGTTCTCCCCGGTGAATGAGAGGGTCGCGTCCCTCCGCCTCCGGGTGGGGGACAAGTCTCTCATTGTTGTGACGGCCTACGGGCCTAACAGCAGTGTAGAGTACCCGGCCTTCTTGGAGTCCTTGGGAGGGGTACTGGACGGTGCCCGCCCGGGGACTCCGTTATTCTCCTGGGGGACTTCAACGCCCATGTGGGAAACGCCAGTGACACTTGGAGAGGGGTGATCGGGAAGAGCGGCCCCCCTGATCTGAACCCGAGCGGTGCTCAGTTGTTGGACTTCTGTGCCAGTCGCGGTTTGTCCATCACGAACACCATGTTCGAGCACAAGGGTGTCCACCAGTGCACGTGGCACCAGGACACCCTAGGCCGGAGGTCGATGATCGACTTTGTTGTCGTATCATCTGACCTTCGACCGCGTGTCTCGGACACTCGGGTAAAGAGAGGGGCGGAGCTGTCAACCGATCATCACCTGGTCGTGAGTTGGATCCGCTGGCAGGGGAAGAAGCCGGTCAGACCTGGCAGACCCAAGCGTATAGTGAGGGTCTGCTGGGAACGTCTCGCTGAGCCCCCTGTCAGACGGACTTTCAACTCACACCTCCGGGAGAGCTTCTCCCAGGTCCCGGCGGAGGAGGGGGACATGGAGTCCGAGTGGACCATGTTCTCTGCCTCAATCGCCGATGCGGCGGCTCGTAGCTGTGGTCGCAAGGTCTCTGGTGCTGGTCCCGGCGGCAACCCCCGAACCCGGTGGTGGACACCGGCAGTAAGGGATGCTGTCAGGCTGAAGAAGGAGTCCTATCGAGCCATGATGGTTCGGGGGACTCCTGAGGCAGCTGTCCAGTACCGGCAGGCCAAGCGTGCCGCGGCCCGGGCTGTTGCAGAGGCAAAAACCCGGGACTGGGAGGAGTTCGGAGAGTCCATGGAGCATGACTATCGGTCGGCCTCGAAGAGATTCTGGCAAACCATCCGGCGCCTCAGGAGGGGGAAGCAGTTCTTTGCCAACACCATGTACGGTGCGGGTGGAGAGCTGCTGACCTCGACTGGGGATATTGTCGGGCGGTGGAAGGAATACTTTGAGGTTCTCCTCAATCCCCCCGTCACGTCCTCTGTTACAGAGGCAGAGGCTGAGGATGTTGGGGCGGGTACATCCATCTCCCTGGCTGAGGTCACCAAGGTGGTTGGTAGCCTCCATGGTGGCAAGGCTCCGGGTGTGGATGAGATCCGCCCTGATTATCTAAAGTCTCTGGATGTTGTAGGACTGTCTTGGCTGACACGTCTCTGCAACATCGCGTGGCGATCGGGGGCAGTGCCAATGGAGTGGCAGACCGGGGTGGTGGTCCCTCTCTACAAGAAGGGGGACCGGAGGGTGTGTTCCAATTATCGTGGGATCACACTCCTCAGCCTCCCCGGTAAGGTCTACTCCAAGGTACTGGAGAGGAGGTTACGGCCGATGGTCGAATCTCGGATCCAGGAGGAGCAGTGTGGTTTTCGTCCCGGTCGCGGAACACTGGACCAGCTCTATACTCTCCATCGGATACTCGAGGGTTCATGGGAGTTCGCCCAACCTGTCCACATGTGCTTTGTGGATTTGGAGAAGGCGTTCGACTGTGTTCCCCGGGGTGTCCTTTGGGGGGTTCTCCGGGAGTACGGGGTCGGAGGTCCTCTGCTGAGGGCCATCCGATCCCTGTATGACCGGAGCCAGAGCTGTGTTCGCATTGCCGGCAGTAAGTCAGACCTGTTCCCGGTGAATGTTGGCCTCCGACAGGGCTGCCCTTTGTCACCGGTTCTGTTCACTGTATTTATGGACAGAATATCTAGGCGCAGCCAGGGGTCGGAGGGGGTCCGGTTCGGAGACCACAGGATTTCATCTCTGCTGTTTGCGGACGATGTTGTCCTGTTGGCTCCAACGAACCAGGACCTGCAGCATGCACTGGGACGGTTTGCAGCCGAGTGTGAAGCGGCTGGGATGAGAATCAGCACCTCCAAATCCGAGGCCATGGTGCTCGACCGGAAAAAGGTGCCTTGCCCTCTGCAGGTGGGTGGAGAGGTCCTTCCTCAAGTGGAGGAGTTCAAGTATCTCGGGGTCTTGTTCACGAGTGAGGGAAGAATGGAGCGTGAGATTGACAGGCGGATCGGTGCAGCGTGCGCAGTTATGCGGTCGCTGTATCGGACCGTTGTGGTGAAGAGGGAGCTGAGCCGAAAGGCAAAGCTCTCGATTTACCGGTCAATCTTCGTTCCCTCCCTCACCTATGGTCATGAGCTTTGGGTAATGACCGAAAGAACGAGATCGCGGATACAAGCGGTCGAAATGAGCTTCCTCCGCAGAGTGGCTGGGCGCTCCCTTAGAGATAGGGTGAGGAGCTCAGTCACACGGGAGGAGCTCGGAGTAGAACCGCTGCTTCTCCACGTCGAGAGGAACCAGTTGAGGTGGCTCGGGCATCTGTTCCGGATGCTTCCTGGACGCCTCCCTGGGGAGGTGTTCCGGGCACGCCCCACCGGGAGGAGGCCCCGCGGAAGACCCAGGACACGCTGGAGGGACTATGTCTCTCAGCTGGCCTGGGAACGCCTTGGGGTCCCCCCGGACGAGCTGGAGGAAGTGTGTGTGGATAGGGAAGTCTGGGCGTCTCTGCTTAGACTGCTGCCCCCGCGACCCGGCAACGGATAAAGCGGAAGAAAATGGATGGATGGATGGATGGTGTTTTATGTTTACATGTTGTCCTGTCTGTTTGTCCTGTTTGTCTGTAGGGGCCTCATTTCTAAAACTTGACCTAGATTTAAGTGTAGTGCAGTCCACAAACTTGCTCCTGTATCATTCGTCTTGCCACAGATGTAATTCGAAGTCAGTTTGTCTTTTGTAAATCTTAACCTGGAAAGTGCTGTACATGACATGTTTGTACATGCACATGTTTTATAAGTGAGACCCCTTGTCTTGTCTCCCACTCGTGGCTTGCACCTTGTCGTGGTGAGTGGGCTTTAAAACTAAGACAGGCCATTGTTTTACTCATCAACAGTTGGATTTGCTGTGGAAGATACTTATGGTTAAGTCTTTTAAGTAAATACTGCAATTCATTTCAAATAAAAGACAAAGATCTGGGCATTATATTGTGATAGTGAGTGTTCAGCTTATAACAATGAATGATTACACTTTCCTTAATAAAATGGCGAGGACAGCTATTAGCCATTTTCACAGCCAACTGTCAACTTTCTGTTGACAATGATCAAATAAGTTGGTTATTTGTTATTTATCTCTTCAACGCTCAAGGCGACCAAAGTGCTGTAGTGGTAAGTAAACGAAAGCAGAGGCAACCAAATGCATAACTTTTGTTTTCTGAAATAATCTTGCTGGAGCTTTAACGATAGACCATCTAAGTTGTGAAGAGTTAGGCTGACCTCTAGTGGTACTGAACTTAACTTCTTTTAAATGATCTTATTTGAAAATAAATAAAGAAAATGCTTTTTGTTTCATGCGTTTCTAATTCATTAGTCAATCAAATAAATAAGACAATATTGCAAACCATGGATTATGTTTATTTTATGTTAAAGGAACATAGTTGTAACCCTGTTACATAGTGACTATTTGAGAAACCTCTTACGCGTTCTTGAAATGACAGCATATAGTACGCAGAAAACAATGACTTCATTGAATTTTTTACTTGTAAATTCAACAAAATCTTGTCAGGAGTGGGATTTGAACCCACGCCTCCATTCGGAGACCAGAAATCCCTGTTCACAGGAAGGTGTGATCCTTGAGTCTGGCGCCTTAGACCGCTCGGCCATCCTGACGGTAAAATGAGTGGTTGAGTTTATACGTTTTTTCATTGTTAAAACATTGAGGGAGTTGACCTGAAAGATTAATTACAGCATGAAGTTACAACTATCTGATTTGTGTCATTCTCTACATGTAGACTGTGTGCTGCTCAATGACATGTCATGTAAAATGGAAGGTCCACGTTTACAACAGCGCCCTCTTTTGATATGCCTTCATCAGAATATATTTACACAGATCAATTTAACTTAGGCATAAATCACATCATAGATTGTAATTTAAGTACACCTTTTTTCTACCTATTTGGAATCTATTCACAACCTATTTTCACTTTTTGCAACTTTTTTACAAGCAAATTCCCGTTTGTGAGTTCCTGTTTTCGATGTAAAAAAAAAATCATTCGGATTCTGATTTTGATATATCAATGGTTTAAACCATAGAACACCAGCAAGGCACAAGCAAGGAAGAAGGAGGATTTATTTCTGCAACCGGATGCAGTTCATTTAGGATGCAGTCATTGTCAAATATATATTGAGACCCCAGGCTTTGCTCAGTTCAAACCGAAGACTAAACTCTCTCAACACAACACGTAAGAGCTCCACAACAGCAGTGTCCAGTTCATGGATCTATAATAATGGTCCAGTTGCCCATTCCGCCCTCCTGCTGACCGTCAGGAGGACTACAGGAGAAACTACAGGAGAGTGAGGTCATTGTTTACAAGGCTACACTGCGCATGCGCCCCTGAGCTCTTTGTGGTGGCAGGTGTGCGTGGTGCAGGTGACTTGACTACGCTGTAAATAACTAACTAAGAACTTTGGTCATTTTTAATCATTGCATTATCGAAAATCAATCCACTTGTTGATTGTCCTACCTCTCAGTCTTTATCATCTCTGGAAATATGTTATAATTTCGCGGACTATATTTGGGAGTGGTTAACCAGCATATGGCAGCATCCCTCTTTTTTGGAAGCAAGCATTTTGTGAAGTATTAACTGCTGTGTATGCGCTTTACTTGAATATTGCCAAATATGAATGCAAAAATAGAGCATTTCTTCAAAACGGTGAGTGGGTCTAATGTCTTTAACTGGTTGGTCTGCATAAAGAGCGTCTTTTTCCATTGTGGTTTGTTTTGTGTGTACGCAGGTGGAGGATGTGAAGACTCTCATAGACACGATTACATGCCAAATAGAGGAGGTGGAGAGAGGGCAAAACGTGATATTATGCAGTCAAAAGAACGACACAAGTAAGTGCTAAAGCTGGAATACAAACACGGGCCTATCTAGAGGCTTGTTTATTTTGTATACACGAGTAATGTGTGTGTGGGGGAAGGGAAGCCTGCTGCACTTTGGGTGGGTCATAGGCAAGGCAAGGCAAGTTTATTTATATAGCACAATTCATACACAAGGCAATTCAAAGTGCTGAACAAAATAAGAAAGAGTAATCATCAAACTCAGAAGTTGGCTGTTGTACTCTGGTTCCAACTCTTGTAATGGCTGGAGCTGCTGCTGTTTATGCATGTGATCAGGCATAAGTGTTTTGCCTAGTGTTTACGTTTTATTAATTACTTTGTTTCTTTATTAAGCTAAAGATACATGTTTTTATGTAGTTGTGCTATACTTAATACTACACGGGAGGTTTTTCCCAAATTTTAGGAAAGGACCATCCTTCTCTACTTTTTGAACAAAAGTCTCTGGTCTTACTTGATGAACATGAAACACCAGAATGATTGATAATTGGGAAAATAATCTTGAAAATCCTCCTATATACTTGGTGAATATTTGGGTGTCTTGTGTTGTGTGCTCCTCATTCCTACTGTTCTGTAACTTGTGATGCAACACTGAAATATCGCCTTTGTGGGACAAATAAAGGATCTCATCATGTTAATTCACTTTCAGAAAACACATGTGGACTGGAGAAGCTGAACAAGGACATCAAGATGCATTCAAGCCAAGTTCAAGGAATGTTAAAGGGTAAGATCACACCATAATTTTTTGCATTTGGTAATAATGAACTCATGAGCAGATTTTAGTTGACATTTTTGCAGTCTGTATAAGAATAACCTGTGTCCAATTCTCACAATGAACCACTGATTACAATTAAGTGGGTTGTCTATAGTTAGAAAGCTTGTGAACTGCCTACTGTAGTTATTACAGTAGAATTATTTTAAATACATTCACTCCTAAGCATCACTGACATATTTTCAAAAATGTAAATTTAGATCTTATGACATTAATTATGCATGATATACAGCTTGACCCTGGTTTGCTTTGACAGCTATGCAGATTGATGCACCAAAAGACAAGAACTGCCAAAGTGTTTCTGTTCTACAGCGGATTTACAAGAACCAGGTATCAATAAATGAGTTTTACTAGTTTTCTTGTTCGTAACACTGACCTTTCTGTCATCGTTTTATTGGTATTGTAAGATGTCTCCAAAACACAGAATGTATAACAGGGAAGGACACATACACAAAATGTATAATGGGGAAGGACACGGCTGAAGCCTAAGGGACGTGCTCATGTGCATAATGTTGCTCCTGCTCGCTTTGGCTCCATTCACTTTCAGTTGTGTCACACTCACCATTTGTCAGAAAACTTTTGCTTGAGTAGGAATAAGGGAGTTAAGTCTTTTCAGTTCAAGCTTGTATTCTTCATACAGCATAACATAAAACAAACAAGATACAGAAGTTCAATTTGAAAAATACATACATATACCAACTTCTCACCAATGGAGTGTGGTAGAGCTAGCTTAAACATTCCAACCAGAAACCAAATCCACGATGTAATTTAACCAATCCCTACTTTTTACATCTTTTCACGTCATATTTTAGATGGAAAATTAAAAAAAGATTCTCAGTTCTCTCTGCCCCAAAGCATTAAATAGTGACTGACTGGGCTCTTTTCCTAAGTATTTGTTTGAAATATTAGTATTAATTTCATTTACATAATATCAATAATAATTAAAACAAATTATAAAAAAGAAAATGATCATAATGATGAAAAAGAAAAGTTGTTTTGTTGGTTACTTCTATCTTACCAGCTACTCTCCACAGTCTGCATATTCACCGCATTTTATCATATATTATATTTGTGTCAGGATGTACCACCTCACTTCTTTGAAATTGTTTGCATTGAATGTCTTCTTCTCTTTCCCAGCACGCCCACCTGACGCGGAGCTTTGTGGAGGTCATGAGGCGCTACTACAGCACACAGACTGACTTCAGACAGAAATGCAAATCACATATTCAGAGGCAGTTGCAGATCGGTGAGTGGCCAAAACCAGGATGAGATCACTTTCTCTCGCTTTCTCTGTCCTTCACGCTGTCTACTTCTGTACTTGGACACAAATTAAATGTGTTTCTGGGATCCGCTGCCAGAACGCTGCCATTCTCCAGGACTGTGTCTATAAAACATCTGCTCATTTAAAGTCATATCAAGGAGCTTAACGTGTGTGTGATGAAACAGAGCTGCTTGTAAACGTTTAAAGTTGTTTTACCTCTGTCAAGTGACAATTGGTGACTTAATCTTGAAGAGAAGTTTAACATAATGCTGAAAATAAATGCTAAAGATAAGTGTAAAAAGGAAAAAAAAACTGAGGCACTAAATGGGTAGAGAAAAAGTTTAAAAGCTTTTATTGATACATGGCTAAAAAGTAAAAAACACCAATGCGTTTCGGCCTCTTTGGCCTTCTTCAGGCCGTGTGTTGCATTAAAAGAGCCTTCTTCAGGCCGTGTGTTGCATTAAAAGAGCCTTCTTCAGGGCGTGTGTTGCATTAAAAGAGTCAAAGTGGCTGCCAAGCTGTTATACCTCATGGTCATGTGACATGTTCTTAAAGGAACAGTATCACAAAGGGCACAACAGACATAAGCATGATTTTTTTTTTACAGAAAGGGAATATAATCTAGCTCATCATTCAGTCCGGGATATTGTGTAGCTTTGAAAGTATAAATCCAAAAATTCGAAGTCTGTCCCCTCCGATTGTAGACATTTGGATGTCTCCATGTCCTGCTTCTTTTTAGTGTATTGGCATACTATATTGGAGGTTCCCTGTTTTGATGGCATATTTATGCTCAGTCTGTTTTTTAATCTTCTTGTAGTCCCTCTAATCTGTACACTACAAATAGTCCTGCTTTGTATTGACATCCTTAAAATGAGTTGTGTTTATCATATTATGGCAGTGATTACAATGGCCACACATATCATTTCCAGACTTTGTTCTGAGTCATGTTTTGGGTTTTAAAGAAGGTAAAGATAATTGTCATATTTTTCAATAACTATTTTGCTAAATAGACTGGCTTTAGACGGTTTGCCTTTACATAGGCTCAGTACATACCACATTCAATACAAAGTCCTAAATTCCATTGTCATAATATTTTTCATACAGAGATATATAATGCAAGTTTATAGTTTTATTGCGATTTCAGATACTCAACATAGGAAGTTAGCCTGTTTTATGGATTAGAGAGACCAAATCCAAATATTGAGTTCTTCAATTAATTAAGGAGATCACATGAATCACTTTGAGTTTAGCAGTGTATATGTGCTAGACAAATAAACCTGCCTTGCCTTGTACGAACTAATTACTAATTATGTAATTCTTTAGAAACATTAACCAGCCTTTTTAAACAGCTGACTAAGAACCAAGCAACATTATCAATTCATAGACTATAAGAATAAGTCTAATGTGTTGCATGTTTTGTCACAGTGGACAAAGTCACAACTGATGAAGAGTTAGAAGAGATGCTGAACTGTGACAGTCTTTCCATTTTCATATCAGATGTAAGTCAATAAATGTTCTTCCTATTACAATATTATCTCCTCCCTTTGTAGAGATTTTTGCACAGTACAAAAAGTTGTACTTGTTTCAAAAGAAAAAATAAACAGCATTTGATATTATATCCTGAATCTTTAATTAACATTTTTGATCATTTATATTTAAATTCAATATAAATGTAAACTTTCAGACTCTAATCAAGCAAAAGGGAGTGAGAAAAGCGACTGTTATACTTCTACTCACTAATTGTCAAATATGGTGAGATTTGTTTTTTGTGTGCGACTGTTGTATTGTTTTGAAAATGAAATTGATCTTACTATCTAATTATTATAATATTTCCACACAGATGAAATGTGGTTCAAACCTCTCGATTCAGGCTCTAGATGAAATCCAGTCCCGTCATTTTGATATCATGAGTTTGGAGTCCAGCATTCGTGAACTGCATGAAATATTTACAGATATTGCTTTGTTGGTGGAAGTTCAGGTAAGAATGATTTACTTTGACTTCAATACGCTTTTATTGTAGAAAAAATATTTGGAAACATAGCATTGTTAACCTAAAGTTGTATTAAAGCTGCTGCCTGTTCAGTATGAAAAATATGCAGATGTTTCACCACTATGCAAAGTAATTTAATGTATGTTGAAAAAAACAACTCCATATATTTAGAATTGTCCTTCCCCTTTGCATTCCTACTGTCTGTCTGAATTATGGGGAGAAGGTTTCCCTGTCAATCAGGAAGTAGAGGAACTGAGCATGGTCGTGCATAACCAATGTTTACGTTCCAAATTTCTCTCTTTTGGGAAGTTGCTTCTTCTAAACTGACTAGAACCAGGAAGTACGACCACATTAGTCCAGTCCTCAGGTCTCTGCACTGGCTTCCTGTGGCTCAGAGAATAGACTTTAAAACAGCTTTGCTTGTGTACAAGTCTCTCCATGGCCTCGCCCCAAAATATATTAGTGACATGTTTGTCCCATATGAACCAGCCCGGACTCTGAGGAGCACAGGGACTGGACTCCTGTTAGTGCCCAGAGTCAGAACTAAACATGGAGAGGCTGCTTTTCAGATTCATGCTGCTAAAATCTGGAACAATCTTCCTGAAGATGTGAGACAGGCCTCCTCTCTGACAATGTTAAACCAGTTTAAAAACGGTTCTGTTTAGCTGTGCATACAACTGAGGGATTTTATATCTTTATCTTTCTATTTAATGTTCTGTGATTTATTTATGATTTTAATGCTTTCTTGTTTTGTTCAGCACTTTGAGTTGCCTTGTGTATGAATTGTGCTATATAAATAAACTTGCCTTGCCTAAACTTAATGCAAAATAACAACTAGTGATCCTACAAATGTTTTGTGTATTACCAGGGGGAATTGATGAACAACATTGAAAAGAACGTGATGGCTGCAGCAGACTACACTGAACGCTCCAAAACAGAGACTGAAAAAGCCGTTGAATACAAGAAAAGTACCTTCAAGTTGGTCCCTCCAGCACTTCTGAGGTCTTTCCGGAAACAGTCAAAAAAATCCTCAGATCAAAGCACAGATCTGTGACTTCATAATCTTTTGTTTTGGTCCAATCCATTTCATCAATGTCATTGCACTGAGTTTTCTCGCATCTATGCTTTTACTTGTTTGAGGTCTTACTTTTTTCTTTCTTGTGATTTGTCAAAAAGTGTGGGAATATTTATTGGTTAATGTTTCATTGTTTTTGCTTTGTGAACAGAAGCATAATAATATTTAACTCGATGTTTTAATGAAAGTTGTCCACAATCAAACTGAGCCTGAAACCGTGTCTCACTTTGTCCAGTAGGGGGTGGAGTTGTAACACTGAAGTAACTGCTGCTGAACAAACTTTTTAGGACGGAGAACACATGAATAGTCAATCAGTGCAGAGAGCTACGGTGGGGTTAGATTCATATACAAAATAAGCCACTTTATATTTTGATAGCACACATTTACACATAAGGATACATTACAATTTACTATTCTCATATTGTGTTTAATGTATTATTTCTGAGCACTGAACTACACATTTCTGATAATGGGTATTTTTGAAAGCAATTTTTGTCTATATATCAGCTCAAGTGCAGTGAAAAGTGCTGTGTTGTTGCTGATTTGTGATGTCTTTAAAGTCTCTGTTTGAAACACAGGGGAAGCTATATTCAGACTGCACCACCGGACCACAGCCAAAATGAACCCATTGACTTTTCCCTGAGAAGGTGCACCCCTCTCCCCTTCATCTCTGATTCGATTTCACTGCACCTTTGCACTTTGCTGAAACCACTTGTTTCCATATTTGAAATTCAAGTAGAAGGAAAGAGGAGGGTATGACAATGCAATTTGAGTGGTGTCTAGAGCACATACACAATGGAAAGTACTAATGCGGAGAAATACACAAAACAGGATTTATTGGTTCAGTGAGGCCCTCAAAATACGGCTTGATTTCAATTTTAAAAGGCAGAGAAAGTCCATATTAATGTATCATTATACTGCTGTACGTTTATTTAAAGGCTTCAATTCAAGTTATGGGAGAAGCTTGTAAGAAAATAAGAAAAATTCTGGGACTCAGAAACAAAATCAACCAGTCAAAAGCTGATCAATTCAAGTCATTTTAACTGTGTCTTATCAGTATCTGCAGTGATAGAATTGACTAAAAGTTGTTGGAATGGATGTTCAACAAATAGCTGGGTTTAGGGTCCTTGTACTCATTCATCTTTACTTCTTGACTTTGCCCTGAGCAGCCACAGCCTCCATGGCCTTCTTCACGGTCTCCTCGTCTCCCAGGAAAGACATGGGTTTGACGGGCTTCAGGTCGGCATCCAGTTCGTACACAATAGGGATTCCAGTGGGAAGGTTGAGCTCCATGATGGCTGCGTCGGACATGCCTGTGGAAGAAAGAAGACAGAGGTAAGTGGAGTGAGCAGCAGATAGGAGAGAGCTGTCTGGTTCAGCAAGACCAGAGATACTATGTTAATACTGTTACTTATTGTCTTACTAATAGTTTAATTGGTGTAACTAAAAAAATATTAAATTCCTGCAAAAGTGGAAGATTGATTGCCGTGATTTGCAGACATGCTTCAGTCTTCCCCAGGTCAACCTAAATTTGGGGTAGCTCCTAGTAGTTCCTGGCACTAGACCCCTTTTGTCCTATCACTAGTTCCCACATGCATGTAATGTAGCTAGTGAATGGTTAGAGGGGCCAATGGCAGGGATTAGTTGCCTCACATCTGTCAGACTGAATAATGCCATGTGGCGCGTATTTGGGTGTCACAAAAATGTCTAGACAAGAAGTGTGCAAAGTGTACTTATGGCCTCTGTTATATATAACGTTTTTCTAATGACATATAACAACATACATCTTACATCTTATAACTCACATCTTACATCTAATAACATGTAACAACATTGTGTAGAAATATACATTGTGTGTGTGCGTGTATTTATATTGTATATGTATAAAGGCTGAAATCTAGCTTAATGAATGGCCTCTCCTGTTGCCCTTTAAACCGTATCACTCGACCTGTCCATGTCCTACCACTCCGTCAGCGCAACAACCTTTCTTCATAAAGGTCATGACTGTAACTGGAACCACCCTCATGACCGTCTGCCCTGTCCCTGAGCTCCAAAGGCTCACAGTGCTATTTATAGTCTCCATAATCACAACTGTGCACAAGCAAAAATCTCCTTTCATTTCCCAAAACAATCAGACGTGCTCTAAATCATTATATTGAACTTACCTTCCAAGTGCTTCACGATGCCACGCAGACTGTTGCCATGGGCTGCAATGATTACATTCTTTCCAGCTTTGATTTCGGGAACAATGACTTCATTCCAGAATGGCAGAGCACGGGCAATGGTGTCCTTGAGGGATTCACAAGTGGGAAGTTCACCCGCCTTCAGACCCTTGTAGCGACGAGACTAAAGGGGACAGACACCAACTTTTTGAGTGTGCATTTATTCACAAAACGCTTGCATGATTCCAAATTCATAACACACAACAACAACATCAATGTGAGAGTTTCCACCATTGTCTATTATACATGACTTATGACACAGTTTTGTATACAGATTTGTATGAATTGCATAATAAATTCCTGTATCTATAACAGTTGTTAAAAATGGCTCCCAGCTTCCACAAATATCCAAAACCGTTTGGGTATTTCGCATGTGCATGTATGTGTATTATTTTAACTGAACCAATTCTAGTTCACTTGTTATGTGGATGTACAACAACTAAACAAGAGAACATGTGTCCTCTAGTCATATAATCCTTCGAAACAGATTGAAACAGCGAAACATTTTACCCCAAATGAACCAGACTTTGTCCAGTTAAATTGAACCAGACCTCAGTGTCTGAAGTACAGATTTAGAACAGCTTTTCCTGCAACACTCTTGCTCAGCCACAAAGCATTCAGCACAATTGAACTAACATTGTGTCATTTCTCTCGGGTTTACCTCGCTGATGATCTGGTTGTACGGATGGTCCTTGTCCATGGGAGGAGGAGGGATATCAAAGGAACGTCTCCATAACTTCACCTGCTCCTCTCCGTGCTTCGCCGCTGTCTCTGCCTTATTCAGACCCGTGAGGCCACCGTAGTGACGCTCGTTCAAACGCCAGGTACGAATCACAGGCAGCCACATCTGGTCCGTTCCCTCCATGATGGTCCACAGCGTCTTGATGGCACGCTTAAGCACGGACGTATAGCAAACGTCGAACTTCATGCCAGCGTCCTTGATGGCCTGGGCACCACGCTTGGCCTCCTCCACGCCTTTCTCACTGAGGTCGGCATCGAACCAGCCGCAGAAACGGTTCTCCTGGTTCCACTGGCTCTCACCGTGACGAACGATGACCAAGCGATGAACAGCAGTCATGTTTGCAGTTTTCCTTCTGCCTTTCTGAGCTACTCACACACTCGGGCCGACCAACAGTGAACCCTCCACCACATGCCACTCTTTTTATAGCAGTGGTGCAGAGCAGGCAGGCCTCTTTCACAACCCACCTGTAGGAGCTGTGGCTTATGTGACAGGCACAAAGTAGCACCAATAACAGTCAGACACTGGAAAAGCTGGTGTGAACACTCAGCGGCGAAGGCCAGAGGTCAGGTATTGGGCTAAAATAGAAACATGACTTTTAAAAGGAGCATCTGTGACACAAAAGTGTAAAGATCAGATTGTATCGAGACATGAGCCTGCATTCCATTTATTGTTTTGTAATATGGAATTTACCTTACTTGATAACTCATGGAAATAAAGTAATTGTCACTAGTTGGTTAAAGCTGGGTATTTACTTTCAAACCACAACAGTTAGAACTACGGTATGTATCCAAATCCCTCTGACTAGTTCCTTGGACTCAGAACAGGTTGGTTTTATCACTAGTTTTCACATGTATGTATTTTTTGGCCTCTGTCACATCTTTGGATCAGAACTTTCAGATCAAGTAAAAAAGAGAGGATCACAGGGATGTTTCTTACAAGTTTGCAAAAGATAACACGTTTTGAATAATATAAAGCCACATGTTGTGGCCTCTGATTTGTTCACAACGTTGTACTTCTCTGTTGAAACAACCAATTGGTATTAATTATTAAACGAAAAGTTAGAAAACCCAGCAGCTTTAATAGAACTTTTAAATCCTCTGTGAGCACAACTATACATATAGTAAAGAATAGTGCTGTCTCAAGCACAAAGAAAGCATAAGCTGCATCAGCAGTTGTTTTTGATAAGTTAGGGGTAGCTTTCTATTTTCAAAACAATTGGTTCTTGAAAACTACTATTCATAAAACTATAATTGTGTTGGATTTTACAAGCTCCTTTCCTCACATTGCATTATTCATTCACTCCATGCACAAACTACCACTGATGCCCATAGACTGCTTGCAGTGGCGGCTGGTGGAATTTTCTACTGGGGGGGCTATGAATATGATGACTAGATATATACCAGCAGTAAGTAAGTTTACACTGACTGTTGTGACTGAAGCCTCACACGAGAATCAACAAGGTCACATGATCAGGATCGCAGGGCAAGTTCAAATGCACCACAGAATTTGACACAGTCTATTATTTTTGATAGGATGTGCCTATTCTTGTCAACCTCCTCATTGTGCTTTCTGATCCCTACCCTGTAGCTTTCATCCAGCTGGGATGAAATATTTATCTTCCCAAACATAGCTAATTTGAGGGCATTTTGCATGTGGATACCAGTCTGCTCATGCTTCTTTGCCTTTTCTAAAAAGTGCTTCAGATCAGTCATACCTGTCTTGATCCATGCTGGGTCAGATCCTGATGTTTGAAACAAGAGGCATGGAAAGCAAAATAAAGCATTAGCCTCACTACATGCTGCTAGCCAAGATTTGGCGCTGAACCAGGTCCTGGAAAAAGTACGAGTGTACCGTCTCCCCCTGTCGCTGGACTGCTGACTAATGGTAATATTTGGCTGATCAGGTCCAAGCTCTTTAACCTCAACCTTCTCCTGGTATGATCTTCTCTCAAACGGTATTGTTTTGAGTGATCTAACTGAATTATTCTTTTTTTCGTTCTCCATTTTGCGTCTCTTTACGTTTGTCTCAAACTCCCACAGCTTGACCTGTCAATCACTGTAAACGGACGTCACAGACAGTGACAGTACAGGTCGCGCCTCAGGGCGCACTTCTCCTGCGCCCCCAAATCGTCTTATCTCTTGCATTGAAGAGGAGCTACTGCGCATGTACAACTTTTAACGAGAGTCCATAGACGGCTCAGGGCGCAATCTTTTGCGCCCTGAGGCGGAAATACGTCCTCAGTCCGACACAGACAACGCTGATGAGCTTAATCAATCCAACTCAGCATAAACTATAAAGTATTTCTTCCACATCTGAAATAAAACACACATAAATTTCGAAATATTTTAATGTTATTATTTTTTTTAACGTTTTATTCAAGGTAACATGGCAAGTTGTGAGTGGTGGGGCGGCGCCCTAGCGCCCTCTATTGGCCGGCCGCCACTGACTGCTTGTCCAACCACACACACAACCAAAGACAGCACACACACCACATACTGTACACCACACTTATATTTACTGGGGCGACCGTTATGCCAGTCCAAACTGACACAACGTTCAATCTCTTCAGCAAATATAAGTTCTAATCTTTTGTCTTAGGGTTCATCCGGTTCACCCTGATCTGAAGACAGCAGAAGAATGTGATGCTTGAAAACAAAGCCACAAAGCAATATATTGACTGGAGAAACGGCTTCCTGCTGCATTAACTCTCTTGAGAATATCTATATCTCAACGAAAATTGAAGCCACGGTTATAAAGGTTTTTTGTACTATTACCAATCCTTTGTCACAAAACAGTTTTTCAAGTGAAATTTTGCCAAAAAAAAAAACACTAAGTACAACAAAAAATACATTGTTGGTGTATTTAGTCTTATTTTTAAGACATAATAGAACCATAAATGTATGCATACATCTACACATTTTCCCATATCAATGTACAAACATACATGTGGCTAAACATTTGTACCATGTAATATAGTAGTTTCAATATTTGTATGTATTTTTGAAACAACAATATTTCAAATATTCTGCTTTAAATGTTATTTAGCAGAGAGGAACACAAGTGGATTCAAGGATTTTTTTGTGGTAATTGACAAAAGGTTGGAAATATAACCTTTAGCTGGTGCTGTGTGAACTTGGTGTAGCTCTGACTGCCACCCCCCTGACCGAGAAAAGGATTAAGGGGAAGAAAATGGATGGAGGGATTTAAAACAACAATGAATTCATAAAATTCATACACTCATGTAAACTCATCAATACTGAAGTTGTCTTAATCTAATGCAAAAAAAAACTCTTTTAACCTCCAGGCTGGTTAAATTACAGCAGTGCACAGAAAAGCCCGGCTGACTGTAGAATGCTGTTAGTTTGAGAAAAGTGAACACAGGAGGTTTGTGGCGATGAGTCAGCCTGCAGCACAGATCTCACCACGCTCAGCTCCCATCTCCCGCGCCTGAGGCTTGGGCACTTGTGGAAGTATTGGGGGTGGGCAAAACAGAATCAGCAATAATCTGGTAGAGGAATCACTAAACACAATATGGAGTTCTGCAAATGTGATTATTTCATCATTTTAAATTGAAATAATAAAAAAAACAGATTGATATAGTCCTTTGCAGTCGCCAAACTATTTTCATTGAGGACTCGTATTGCAATAGAGGCAACAGTGCAGAGGCTGATACTGGAATTGTCTGGGGTTTGAATGTGCATCCACCTCTTAGTTCAGTGTCAATGATATGGAGGCCATGAAGAATGGCAACTTTTTACACACATCACCTAAAATAATCAACTTTAGTGAACAAAATAAGACTTAAAAACAGAAATTCAAGATTGTCTTTTTAGTTTTGATGAAATTTCAAGGCTCTGTGTCAAGTGCACACAAAAATTAAATTTAAAATTAATTTAAAGATGAATTGAAGACGGTATGATAACCCGCTTGATGGTTCAATTTATTTAGCAGAGTTAAGGAAATGGCTTAATTTCCTTAAGTTTTGTGCACAAAAGATATTTTGAGAAAGTCAAACTCTAGTAATAGTTACTGAAGTTATTCATTAACAATATATGAACACATAAAACACCCACACAAATTATTCCAATTTAAATCCAATTAGAAGTGCAAGCAACCACTGAAAATAATGAAGTGAATGTAAATGATGGATATTACATTTATTGTAAAATTAGCTTATAGTGATTGTGTGCAACCTCTCTTTAACCTGTAGTTTCTCTCGATTCTTTGAGGTCAGTGCAGCAGTTCTGTTTTCCACCAGTAGGAGACATGCTGAGTCACTGTTAAAGAGGACTGCCCCTCCCCCCACAACACTCTCCTGCAGTGTGCATACAGTATGTTACAGTAAGGTAGGTTTATGGAAAACAATGATGTATAGCATACTTTATAATTGTTTTTCTTTAATTGTTAATACATTACATTTCAGCTTTTGAAATGATTGTACTTTCAACCATGGTGGTTAATTAATCTTTATTAATATGTACCTTGAGTTTGTGTTAAATGCTGTTGTAGTGTGCCAAATTGTAAAAAAAAAAAAAAAGAAAAAAAAAAAGTAAGAGTTGTCAAACTGTCCATCCCCTTTCACTCTGCCTTTCCTTCCTGTCCAATATCCCCCCCCACATGTATTCCAAGGGTCCCTGGTGTCTTGCTGCCAGTCGTTGCAGTGTAAGACTATCGAGGCTGCGTTGTCAGAGTTAGAGAAAGCGCTTGCGTCAGAGCTCCCTCTCTCAGTATAAAAGGCTCCGGCGCTGCAGCAGTGAGCAGTCGAGGCTTTGACCTGACATCATACACACAGTCAGAGGAGAAGGAGAGCAGCCTTGTCCTCATCATGAGTAACATCGGATATGACCCCTACTACTCTCCTTCCTCCTCCTACCGCCGCTGGTATGTGGAGTCTCCCTCCCGTGTCTCCTCTCGGGGCAGGAGCCACACTGTGTACTCCCCCCACAGTGTGTCCTCATCTTCCCGTGTGCAGTACTCCTCTCCGGGCCGGGTGCTGCTCTCCTCCTCCTCTCCGTCCCAGTCTCTGGATCTGGAACTCAGCCAGGCAGCCCAAATCAGCTCCGAGTTCCGGGCGGTCCGTACCCAGGAGCGTTCCCAACTACAGAACCTCAATGATCGCTTTGCCGGCTTCATCGAAAGGGTGAGGGAGCTGGAGCAGCAGAACCGTGCTCTCGAGGCTGAGCTGATGATTCTCAGGCAGAGGCACACTGAGCCCTCTCGTCTGAGGTCACTGTACGAGCAGGAGGCCCGGGCTCTCCGAGCCGCTGTTGACGAGGCCAGAGCAGAGCAACAAGCTGCTCTGGGCCAGAGGGAGCGCCTGGAGCAGACCCTTAGTGCTCTTCAGGGCCGGTATGAAGAAGAGGTTCTGGCTCGAGAAGACGCAGAGGGCCGGCTCATGGAGGCCAGGCGTGAAGCTGACCAAGCTGCTTTGGCAAAGGCCGAGCTGGAGAAGAGCGTTGAAACCTTGTTGGAAGAACTGGCCTTCCTCAAGAGGGTCCATGAAAGTGAGCTGGCTGAGCTTCAGGCCCAGGTGCATCTGGGGGTGCAGGCGGCCGTGGAGTCTGAGGCTGCAGCTCCAGACCTGTCGGGGGCTCTGAGGGACATCCGCTCTCAGTACGAGAGGCTGGCAGCTCGGAACATCCAGGCAGCTGAGGACTGGTTCAGGGGTAAGGTGGGCACGCTGACTGAGACTGTGGCCCAACACACAGATGCCGTGAGGAGCTCCAAAGACGAAGCGGGAGAGTACAGACGCCAACTGCAAAACCGCATCCTGGAAATCGATGCATGCAGAGGTCTGAACGAGTCCCTGGAGAAACAGCTACAGGAGATGGAGGACAAAAATGGTGCAGAAATATCATCTATGCATGTGAGTGTTGAAATGGTTATCCGATACATTACATCCTGTCTGTTTGTAATCATGTCTGCACTATCACTTCTCATGTGTCTTTTTATGTAGGACACTATTGGAGACTTGGAGAATGAGCTGAGGGGAACCAAACATGAAATGGCTCGGTATCTGAAAGAGTATCAAGACCTTCTAAACGTCAAGATGGCCCTGGATATTGAAATTGCTGCATACAGGTGAAATGTTGAAGTCAATTAATATTCCTTCCAAGACCCTGGAACAAGAATCTTTTTTGTTTATGTAAAAGCTATACAAGTTCAGATTGGACACTCCAAAAAGAAACATAATCAAATCCCAGCCCTTTTCTAATACGACTTGTGCTTGTGTCTGTTTCTCCAAACAGGAAGCTGCTGGAGGGGGAGGAGTCTCGTTTTAATGTGGGCGGAGTTGGGGCCGTGGCATCTCTGTACAGCCACAGTCTGTCGGCTCCCTCCTTCAGCCGCCCTGTCTTCTCCAGTCTGAGCTCGGGCACCTCCTACCTGATGACATCACGCCTGTTCAGCTCCAGCACCACCGAGGGGCTCATCTCCGCCAGCCAAGCCCCCCAGGCCGAGGCCAGCCCCCCTGCTGAAGAAGAAGAGGAGGAAGAGGAGGAGGGAGAAGAGGCAGCAGAGGATACAGAGGAGGCCAAGGAGGAAGAAGAAGGAGGAGACGACAAAGGAGAAAAGGAGGAAGAAGAGGAAAAAGTAGAGGAGAAAGAAGGAGAGGAAGCTACTGAGGCAGATGAAGGTTAGAACGGCTGTTTCCAACATCTTTTGTTGAGTAGCCCTTAAACGTTGTCTCACAGTCTAAGGAACCCCTAAAAATAAATGGTCAATTATGACTTGAAATTAAATGAAATTCTCTTGTAGTTATGGCGTCCCTTTAACTCTTGGTCCTAATATCAATCAAAACTCCAACTAGTCGACGGAATAAGGTTTTGTTAAACATTATCTCAAAAAACTCTCATACTTTCAGTGTTAAAGTAGAACTAAATGTGAGTGCTCAAATAGTAAAGTAAAAGTCTGGTTATATCTTTATATAATGTTTTCAATTACAAGTTCCCAAGTTTGTGACCAACATTCAGTCTACTACTTTTTATTTTTTGTATTCAATAGTAGAATTATTTCAGGTCATAACAGAACATTAAACATGATCAATAATGTAAAACCATATATGTAACGTCTAAAATACAGTATATACACATTCTCATGCATTGTTCATGAGCTTCCAATGCAATGTACAAACTCTTTTTCCAGGGACAATGTAATGTGCCAAGAATTAGCAAAAATACAAGATCCCGCTTGTGGGCCGTGGACAGGTTAATGATGTACTTGCAGTAAGACAACTGATTAAGAGTGAAATGAATGGACTGACATGAAAAACTTTATCCAGTACCAATTTGACATTGCTAACATAACTTACTGATTTTATGCAGGAGGTGATGATGAAGAGCAAAAGGAAGAAGAGACCGAAGCTGCAGATGAGGAAGAGGAGGGAGGAGAAAGTGAGGTAAAAGAGGAGGAAGAGCAGAAGGAAGAAAAAGATGAAGGAGGGGATGATGAAGATAAAGAAACAGAAACCAAAGACGACCAAAAAGCAGAAAAGGAAGACCCCAAAAAGGCTGATGAAAAACAGGAGAAAGAGGAAAAAGCAGAGGCTAAGAAAGTAGAAAAAGCTCCCGAGAAAGAGGAAAAAGCAGCACCGGAAAAATCTGACGAGAAGGAAGAACCCAAGACCAAAAAGGAAGACAAACCTGCTCCGGAAAAAGCTGAGAAAGATGAAAAAGTTGCTCCGGAAAAAGCGGAGAAAGATGAAAAAGTCGCTCCGGAAAAAGCGGAGAAAGATGAAAAAGTCACCCCGGAAAAAAAGGAAAAAGAGGAGAAACCTGCTCCTGAGAAAGAGAAGAAAGACGAAAAAGCTGTCGCCAAAAAAGACGTCAAAGCCGAACCAAAGAAGGAGGAAGAGAAAGCCGCCAAGCCTGCCGAGGACAAAAGCAAAGAGGCCAAGAGCAAGAAGTGAGCCAGGCCATAGTCCCAAATCTCTGCTCCATAATCTTAGGCCATTGCTTGTCCCACGGCGCTCCGTCTACAAAGTACAGCAGCAATATACAGCAAGGTTACACGCTCGCCATTCATCAAAATAGCCCGTAATGAAGCCAGTATGCTCTTGAATGTAACATGCTAAATGCTGGATGTAAGTGTGTGGTTTGGGGGTAGAATAAAAACTTCTTACAACCCGTATTATATGTTTCAGTCTTCTTTTAGCTGTCTATATTCTTGTTTCTTGTTGGAGAGGCTTTGGTTCGAATCACAACAAAACAACTGATTTTAACAACTTAGACTTAGACCAGGCAAGTGATAAAGCAGAAGATGATACATGGATGAAATTATTTTGATTTTTTTTAGGGTAAATGTAAAAGGAACAACATTGTTAAAATTATTATTTCCATATAAATGTTAACGTTGTTTTATGGGATGGCCCCAAAATATATTTAGATTGGTAAACAGGGCAAGGGCATTCCTGATAACTCTGTGTAATTGCTGATTTAATTATATATTGGTAAATTATGATTACATTGTGTGAAATATGATGTAAATACATGTCCCAAGCCTAATTTCAAATCTATTTAAATTAGTTATAGTTGTATAATGGGCAATTAAACACAACACATTAGACATTACACAACCACTTATTGCCCGTTAGTATTTGATTATTAGATTTGAATTAGAAATGTTGATGTGTTATGTTTTAATTTTTTGATTGATTTCAATGTTTCTTGTTTTGCACCTTGAGTTGTCTTGTGTATACTGTGAATACAAAATAAACATGCTTTGCCTTAGTATGGATTTGTGTTTCAAGCCGTTTTCTTCAATAATACTTTGATTGCAGTTGTCATTATGTCCTCGAGATCCCACTTAAAACAAACTTATCAGTTTTATAGAGTATGTTTCTGTGCAGTGCTGCCGTAATGTTAGATTCACTCATAAAAACATGGTAACTAAGCCGACAGAACCGTGACTTCAATCAAAAGAATGCATCTCTGTAGTTCATAGAGATATTTAGTTGTCAGTTGGTTCAAAACATTTTCATTCGTGACTTTGTAATGCAAGTATTTGTGTCAATTATTTGCCTGGCTTCCATATTAATCTAGTTTTATATCAAAATTAGAACAGAAAGGGTGTGGGAAGAACAAGGCCGGTACCGTTTTTATCAATCACATGGAAACATCTAATGTATAGTAAGAATTACAATATGATGCAATTTTATTCATTGATTTAAATGTATTGTGTAAAGGTATTTTTCTGACCCACTTGCACAAGGACTGCTGTTAGAAAGTTCCAACAAATGAATCTGGGGGAAATATTCTGTTCTTTTGGTCAATGGTCTAGTTCATGGTCCCTGTTCTTGCATGGTGCAAAACATAGGTGTTCTAATCATGTGTTACTAAATTAAACTATAACCTTCATACATGATTGTGAATGATGTGACCTGTACGCCCTCTTTAATATTTATAAAACTGTCTGTGTTACAATCTGGATTGATCTTTTTTTATTATACAACAACCTGTTCAGGGTTGAGGAAGGACCTGCCACCAGCGTCTTTCCTATGACTCTGTTACTTAGTAGTAGTAGTAGTAGTAATCTTTATTTATATACCGCCTTTTCACTGCACATCGGAGTCTCAAAGTGGTTTACAATTGTTATTTTTTTTTTGGGAGTGGGGGTGCCACTCCCAATGTTTTGTTGTGCATTGCCCCAATACTAATAAAAACAAATACCAAATTCCAAATTCAGATTTAACCCTAGGCCATAATACGTTTGTCTACGATAGTCTACAATAACAGATTTCACGACAACATACCCTATGACTAATACTACGAGCATAACATATATAAGTTTCCCAACAATTAAACCCCTATTTATAACTTTTTTAGCAATTTATGTTATTTTAAGGTCCATGAAGTGTATAAATAGAAATATCCCGTCCCACCCTTTCATAAGGCATTTTGTCTGTTATGTACAAAACCTCTTACACGGCACTGTAATTACGCTGCCATCGCATCTGTGCAGAGTAATTGAAGCAAAGAAATACCCAAGACAGTTTACAGTTTGTTTTGACATTTATTGAGCAAATGCTGCTGGGAAGTTGTTCATGATGTCTAAAGACATGGGATTGCAAACAGTAGCACCTCATTTATTTTGTATTTAAATTCAAGTCCATCCTATGCATACAAGAATGCACATTGGCGCATGTACAGTGATTATTTTCAGTTGCACTCAGGTAAACATAACAGACACTGATAAAAAGCATGTTTAAGGCTAGTAGTCTTCAGTACGTTGGTTAAGCTTCGGATACTTGATGTAATATGGTCATATGTGTCCATCGTTCAGTTTCCCTGGGACTTTCTTGGCTGTCGTTGGTGTTGTTATAGTTACTTTTTGGCTCAGTAGATTGAACATCAAGTACAAACAAGTAAGGCTTCTTCAACATGTGGAGACGGGTGCTCCCTCCTTAGCTGCCCCTTTAACCCTTTAATGTACTCAAAAAACCTCAATAGTATCCTGTCCCACTCTTAGTGCATTCATTGCTTCGATATATATATTTTTTACAGTATGTTCTTATCATATACATTCGAGAGGACGTGGAACCCTCTCCCCTGAGCTAGCATGCAGAGACCCCGCCCACCTTTCTCGATGTGAACCGCGTAAAGAAACAAAGGAGGGGAAAAAATATAGTAGTCGAATGTCTGTCTTTGCCCCGCCCACTTAAAGCTTTCTCTCGACATGCATTTTGGAGATGTTTAGCATTTTCTTTTTGACTTGTCTTCTAGGATCGTGTTGTGTTTTTGTCGTAGGATGCCGCTCTAGCTGTTATGATTGGTTGATTGCTTTTGTCCCGCCCTCCTCCGGCCCCTACTTCTGCCCTATTCTGCTTCAGTCACCTGCTTGACGGTCTGGCTGCTGTGTTTTTCTGTCTTCTTCGTGGCCACCACCTTTTCCTGCACCTCTTCTTCGGCTTCTTTCACCGTCTCTGTGACAGTGACCGACTTGGTGACACGCTTGGAGCCATCTTCTCCAGTGGTAATGGTCTCAACCGTTTGGGTGATGACCACTTTTTGGTTTGCATCATCTTTCACTGGGCTCTCGTCGACGCCGTTGGAGATCACGTCTTTGCCTTCGTCCTTTTTCTCCTCTGAGTTGCTCTTGTCGACGTCTCCGTTCATGGCTGCATCCTTCTTCTCGACCTTCTTGTCATCAGTTTTTTCTGGTTTCACATCTTTAGGTGGAGTCTCCTTCTTTGGGGACTGAGCTTTAGGTGATTCAGATTTTGGAGAGCTTTCTTTGGGGCTGCTAGGTTTTGGAGACTTGGGAGAACTAGGTTTAGGGGACTCAGACTTAGGAGATTCAGCCTTGGGGGACTCAGACTTTGGAGATTCAGCCTTAGGGGACTCAGACTTTGGAGATTCAGGCTTTGAAGGTTCAGACTTGGACGTTTTTGATTCCGTCTTAGGAGCTTCACTCTTGGAAACCGGCTGCTCCTGTTTCTCATCCTTGCTGTCGTCTTTGTCCTCCTTTTCATCTCCACTTTTAGATTCCTTTTCATCTTCGCCTTCCTCTTCTTTCTGGTCATCTCCACCTTCAAAACATTTTTATTTAAATGGTTAACATTGTCTAAATTCTGAATTATAATGAAAGTCTACTAAAAGGGGTGACTATACAAATATTGTGTGAAAAGTCATTATTTTCCATTTGTACTATGTCAATGTTATGTGCTATGACAATTTTAATATGTTTGTTAAAACCGCAGGCGCAAATTCTATAGGACATAAATATATCCAATTTACAGAATATTAATCACTTTTGCATTTGAGCCAATCCTTGCCTTGATAAATGAGGCCCTCAGAGTTCAAAATCAAAATTAGCACCAAAGTGGGACAAATCCTGGAAAGACCCAAATGACCAGACTAAGCTTGAGCCAGGACCAAACAAGTGCGAAAACAGCAGAAATGTGTTTTTTAAGAGCTTGATCTTATAAGTTTTCCTATTGCCTTAACAATGACCATTAAAGGGGATCCTCTCGAAGAAGATTCACTGAGAAAAAGTGTGTTTATGGTACAATATTTTTTGTTGATATTAGTGTATTGATCTTTTTAGTTAAAATTACCTTCCTCTGCGTCATCCTCTCCTCCACTCCCCTCCTTCTCTTGTTCGGGAGATGCTTTGGACTCGGAGGCTTTGGAGCACAGCACGGTCTCCTCCACTACATCGTCTCCCTCCTCTCCCCCTTCTTCCTCGCCTTCATCACCTCCCTCTTCATCCTCAGCGTCTTTGTCTCCATCATCCTCTCCAGCATCTTCATCTTCCTTCTCTCCTTCTTTAGCTGCTTCTCCCTCACCTTCCTCCTCATCTTCATCCTCTCCTTTCTCCTCATCTTCCTCTTCCTCGGCTGGAACGCTGGAGCTGATGTTAGCTTCGGACGCGGCTATAGTTTCATCTTCATCTCCCTCTTCACCTTCCTCGTTGCCTTCTTCGTCCAGAGTGGCGGACAGCTCCTGGGCAATCTCAGCTAAAGCTACATCCATGTCAGATTTGTCTTCATCTTCTACTCTGGTCTCCTCAATGATTTCCTCAACAAACTTGTGCTGTACTTTCAGCCTGGGGGCCTCTGATTTGGTTTTGGAGATGCTCTGGCGGTATGGGAAGGATGTACTAAAGTGAGTCTCTTCACCTTCCAGAAGTTTCCTGTAGAAAGAAGTGAGTAACATGAGATCTGTACAAACACACAGCTTTACTTTAAGGTTTTGTGTGTGTGGTTTGTCATAGATGGTATAAATACGCAAAAGTACAGACAATACTATTTAATTAATGTGCAAGCTGGGCCTTGTTCATTATATCAATTACTTAAAAGTCAGTTCCCAGTTGTGTGCAGTTTCTTTGAATTTCTAATATACTTTCTTTTGATTGCTGCCTTGAACCTGTATGTGTGTTTTTATGTTCATTCTCTTTAATGGGGGAAATATAATATATAATATATTTTAATATAAATAAAATATTAAAATTTTATATAAAATAAGACAATAGTTATGAAAAACCTCTAGTCTTGTTACCTGGAATTATTTCCTAAAATGAATAGATGTCCTTGTTCTGCATTCACAGATGGCTTGTTTCTGCCTTTTCATTGCAAGTGCTGAAGTTTAGTTTTCAGCTGATATACAGTTCATTGTTATGTGTTACCTGTATGCAGCAATCTCAATGTCCAGGGCCATCTTGACATTGAGCAGATCCTGGTATTCGCGCAAGTGACGGGCCATCTCCCATTTGGTGCTTTTGAGCTCATTGTCCAACTGGTGGATGGTTTCCTGAACAAGACAAATGAGGATGTACTTGGTTAGGTGAAGGCCTTCGTATACATTAACTCCTGTGAAAATGAATTCTGACGCAGTACATTCCTCTGCATTTTGCGGGGTCTTGTTTTCAAGGGCAGCCCCCACAACCCCTCCCACTGCCAGTGGTGTGATGTGAGTGAGGACAATACAAGAGCCAATGGACGCATCGATCCACGCCTCTGACTCAGCACTCCGCATTCAGCCAAGGTGTGCGGCTGCTGCGTCTCTCCATCGGTGCACCTGAAACTGATTTCTCTCAGAGAACAGAGGCACTGGGAGTTTGGGAGAGGGGCTGGTGGGCACACTATGAACGTGACGCAGCACTGAAAATGCGACTGCATTACGTATAGAGAAAGTTGTACGCGCAGCTAAAAAGTTTAACACTGCATTAAAAGTCATAGAAGACTGTCTACATACATGACATTTGTAACTGTCTATTTGACCTTAGATAACCTCTATTTCATTATGATGATTTATCTGGATTGCCCAAGGCCTACATGACACAGCAGAATGAAAAGATCCTTTACCTGGAGACTTGCCAGGTCGCTGTTGTGGCGGTCTTCGATGTCATTGAGCTGCCGCTCGAGGGAATCCCTGGTACCACGCACGGACTCCAGCTCCACAGTTTTGCTCTGCAGTTGGCGACGGTATTCTGTGATTTCATCACGCGCAGACTTGATTGCATCCTTGTTCTGTTCCGCAGCCTCGGTCAGCTTCGCATACCGGCTTGTAAACCAGGTCTCTACGTGCTGCAGGTTCTGTGTCGAGTGACCCTCGAGCTCAGAGCGGATCTCACGCAGAGCGTCGGTGATGTCCGCCTTGTGCGTATCCCGGCGCTCCACGCGCACCTGCGCCTCCTGGATCTGTGCAAGCAGCTCCCGCACTTCCTCCTCGTGGTTATTCCGGATGAACGCCACCTCATCCTGAAGAGACTGAACTTTCTTCTCGAGGTCCACCTTGAGCAGGTCTGAGTCGTTCGTGTCCTTCCTCAGGACCCGGATGATGGCTTCGGTGTCATCCCGGAGCCGGGCTTCGTCCTCAAAGCGCTCCCGAAGCCGCTGGATGTCCTCCTCCAGGCGCTCCGAGTCCAGATGCACCTGCGCCTTGTCGCGGTGCACCTGCTCCAGAGCCATTCGCAGCTCGCTCAGCTCCTGGTCGTATGCATCTCCCAGCTGCGTGCGGGACACCTGCCGCTCACGCAGAGCCTGGATCTCAGCCTCAAGTTGCTGGTTGTGCTGCTCGAGGAAGTGCACCTTGTCGATGTAAACAACGAAGCGGTCATTGAGCCCCTGGAGCTGCTCCTTCTCCGAGGAGCGCGTGTATTCCCCGTTCAGGCTGAAGTCTCCGCTCTCTACGTTATGAGCGCGGGACACTGGGACATTAACGCTGCGCTTGTAGCTCACAGCGGACGTGGGACTGGCCCGGGACCACGACTGGGAGCGGTAGCCGCTGGATTGAGAGCCCACGGGCCGGCTGTAGTAGCTCCGGGTCTCCATAACCCTCCTGAACGGGCTCCCTGAGGGGTCCATGTCTGATGAGCACTGCAGAAGTGGGGCACACTGAGGCGGAGGGCAGAGCACACGTGGAGGTGTGTGTGGTGTGTGTGGAGTGTGTGAGAGTGGCTCTGAGCGACTGACGACTGCTCTCTGTGAACCTTTTATATGAGGCTCTCAGCCGGTGCTGCTCTGTTCAGGCTCAACGGGGGAGAGGGAGAGAGAGAAAGAGAGAGAGAGGGAGCTCAGGAAGGTGGGGCTTGTCAGACCGGGGTCCCGCTGAGTTAGGGCCACGTGCACAGAACGAGACCACTGGAAATACCCTGCCTTTTTGTTCTTTCTAATAGTTGTTCATTTAACAGCACATACCAGCAGATCTGCGCCAATTCAGCACCATGGATAGCACCAAACCTGCCCGCGTGCCTCCAAGATGACACAGAAAAATAATCGTACAAACAAACATACGTCTAAATGAGGACAATGTTGTTTTCATTGTGTTTATGCTCCCTTTAGCAAACACACATCTATTATTGAAGTATCTTTATGTATCTTTAATAGTAAAGATTTAGTGAGTGTCTTTATGGTTACTTGCCTCGTACAGCTTATTGACATACCATCATTCAGAAAGCTTTACTCTAATCAGAGGTCATTTGGTCAATGTTATCGATTACCATTTGTGCAGTAAATGTACAGAAACAGCTGCATCAGGGCGTTGGTGAATGTTCCTGCTTTATTTTAATTGTTTATTCCACAAGCCATTCTGTAAATCCACAGGCCATTTCCTCCTGTGTCGTGAGTCCTAATGGAAACCCAATGATTTATCCCCCATGAGGTCACGGAGCATTCATACAGGAATCATTCAAGATGCACATGCAGGACATGGAATACAAGGCTGGGGATATCTATAGTGCCAAGAAACATTATCACATGGGCCCTCAAATCTACATAGCTTATTATTGTTATTATAAAAAGTAATAAAATTCCTCTAAAGTTCCTGGCGTTTTCATATGCAGGTATTTTGGCATTTGTCACATATTTAGATCAGCTTTTAGAAAGCTTTTAGAAGCCTTTGGACAGAAAAGTGAAAAAGCAGGATCCCCCTGACTCAGCTAGCTCTCTGCATGATTGATGTGTTACAGTTTTTCTCTACTGTTAAACACATTTCACGATACTGCCTTCCCTTTTCACAAAACTCTAAACACAAACCAGTTTTCTAAAGCTACGTACACACAACCTCACAGTCTCTTTACAAAACCGGCCCATCACACCAAAACAGTTGCTCATATTCTAAAAAGTAAACTCTGACACCAAAATACCTCTCAGGGTCTGCAAAAATGTGAACACTACTGAGCCTCATTAACCACATTAACAAAACAATTGAAAACACAATTTTCAGAGTGTGAGGCTATAGTTATTTCACAATTCAATGCAAAAATAAGTAACTCCAGGATCCAGACACACAATATATACAACACTACAGTAAGAAAACACATTGTTCAGGGTGTGATTTATTTCATTACAGTATGTTGTACAGTATGTTGTACTGTATGTTGTACTGTATGTTGTACTGTATGTTGTACTGTATGTTGTACTGTATGTTGTACTGTATGTTGTACTGTATGTTGACACTAAAATCATTGAGGGGCATCATGTCATGGGATTGGGTCGGGCCACAGGACCTCATCAACATCACAGGCAATATTGTTCATAGTTAAACAACACTACTCTCTCCTTGACCTGCTCCTCTCTCTCTTTGACCTGCTCCTCTCTCTCCTTGACCTGCTCCTCTCTCTCTTTGACCTGCTCCTCTCTCTCCTTGACCTGCTCCTCTCTCTCTTTGACCTGCTCCTCTCTCTCCTTGACCTGCTCCTCTCTCTCTTTGACCTGCTCCTCTCTCTCTTTGACCTGCTCCTCTCTCTCCTTGACCTGCTCCTCTCCCTCCTTGACCTGCTCCTCTCCCTCCTTGTCCTGCTCCTCTCCCTCCTTGTCCTGCTCCTCTCTCTCCTTGTCCTGCTCCTCTCCCTCCTTGTCCTGCTCCTCTCTCTCCTTGACCTGATCCTCTCCCTCCTTGTCCTGCTCCTCTCTCTCCTTGTCCTGCTCCTCTCCCTCCTTGTCCTGCTCCTCTCTCTCTTTGACCTGCTCCTCTCTCTCTTTGACCTGCTCCTCTCCCTCTTTGACCTGCTCCTCTCTCTCCTTGTCCAGCTCCTCTCTCTCTTTGACCTGCTCCTCTCTCTCCTTGTCCTGCTCCTCTCTCTCCTTGTCCTGCTCCTCTCTCTCTTTGACCTGCTCCTCTCTCTCTTTGACCTGCTCCTCTCCCTCTTTGACCTGCTCCTCTCTCTCCTTGTCCTGCTCCTCTCTCTCTTTGACCTGCTCCTCTCTCTCCTTGACCTGCTCCTCTCTCTCTCCTTGTCCTGCTCCTCTCCCTCCTTGTCCTGCTCCTCTCTCTCCTTGACCTGCTCCTCTCCCTCCTTGTCCTGCTCCTCTCTCTCCTTGTCCTGCTCCTCTCCCTCCTTGTCCTGCTCCTCTCTCTCTTTGACCTGCTCCTCTCTCTCTTTGACCTGCTCCTCTCCCTCTTTGACCTGCTCCTCTCTCTCCTTGTCCTGCTCCTCTCTCTCTTTGTCCTGCTCCTCTCTCTCCTTGTCCTGCTCCTCTCTCTCCTTGACCTGCTCCTCTCTCTCTTTGACCTGCTCCTCTCTCTCCTTGACCTGCTCCTCTCTCTCTTTGACCTGCTCCTCTCTCTCTTTGACCTGCTCCTCTCTCTCCTTGACCTGCTCCTCTCCCTCCTTGTCCTGCTCCTCTCCCTCCTTGTCCTGCTCCTCTCTCTCCTTGTCCTGCTCCTCTCCCTCCTTGTCCTGCTCCTCTCTCTCCTTGACCTGCTCCTCTCCCTCCTTGTCCTGCTCCTCTCTCTCCTTGTCCTGCTCCTCTCCCTCCTTGTCCTGCTCCTCTCTCTCTTTGACCTGCTCCTCTCTCTCTTTGACCTGCTCCTCTCCCTCTTTGACCTGCTCCTCTCTCTCCTTGTCCTGCTCCTCTCTCTCTTTGACCTGCTCCTCTCTCTCCTTGTCCTGCTCCTCTCTCTCCTTGTCCTGCTCCTCTCTCTCTTTGACCTGCTCCTCTCTCTCTTTGACCTGCTCCTCTCCCTCTTTGACCTGCTCCTCTCTCTCCTTGTCCTGCTCCTCTCTCTCTTTGACCTGCTCCTCTCTCTCCTTGACCTGCTCCTCTCTCTCTCCTTGTCCTGCTCCTCTCCCTCCTTGTCCTGCTCCTCTCTCTCCTTGACCTGCTCCTCTCCCTCCTTGTCCTGCTCCTCTCTCTCCTTGTCCTGCTCCTCTCCCTCCTTGTCCTGCTCCTCTCTCTCTTTGACCTGCTCCTCTCTCTCTTTGACCTGCTCCTCTCCCTCTTTGACCTGCTCCTCTCTCTCCTTGTCCTGCTCCTCTCTCTCTTTGACCTGCTCCTCTCTCTCCTTGTCCTGCTCCTCTCTCTCCTTGTCCTGCTCCTCTCTCTCTTTGACCTGCTCCTCTCTCTCTTTGGCCTGCTCCTCTCCCTCTTTGACCTGCTCCTCTCTCTCCTTGTCCTGCTCCTCTCTCTCTTTGACCTGCTCCTCTCTCTCCTTGACCTGCTCCTCTCTCTCTCCTTGTCCTGCTCCTCTCCCTCTTTGACCTGCTCCTCTCCCTCCTTGTCCTGCTCCTCTCTCTCTTTGACCTGCTCCTCTCTCTCTTTGACCTGCTCCTCTCCCTCTTTGACCTGCTCCTCTCTCTCCTTGTCCTGCTCCTCTCTCTCTTTGACCTGCTCCTCTCTCTCCTTGTCCTGCTCCTCTCTCTCCTTGTCCTGCTCCTCTCTCTCTTTGACCTGCTCCTCTCTCTCTTTGACCTGCTCCTCTCCCTCTTTGACCTGCTCCTCTCTCTCCTTGTCCTGCTCCTCTCTCTCTTTGACCTGCTCCTCTCTCTCCTTGACCTGCTCCTCTCTCTCTCCTTGTCCTGCTCCTCTCCCTCTTTGACCTGCTCCTCTCTCTCCTTGTCCTGCTCCTCTCTCTTTGTCCTGCTCCTCTCCCTCTTTGACCTGCTCCTCTCTCTCCTTGACCTGCTCCTCTCTCTCCTTGACCTGCTCCTCTCTCTCTTTGACCTGCTCCTCTCCCTCTTTGACCTGCTCCTTTCTCTCCTTAATCTGCTCCTTTCTCTTTGACCTGCTCTTTCTCCTCCTTGTCCTGCTCCTCTCCCTCTTCTGACACAAACTCCTCTTCTTCTGTCTTGATCATCCATTTTTGTGTTTGAAAAATGTGTTTAGAGTTTTGAGAAAAAGGGGATGGGTTTTGTGAACAGTGTCTGCAGGTGAATTGTGTTTATGGTTGTGAAAAGTGGGGGGTGGATTTATTAAATGTGTTTAGGCAACTGGTCATTTGGTTTAGAGTACTGGGTTTTGTGTTATAGAGAAAAACTGTAACAGACAATTATGAAAATTAAAGAAAGTTAGGTGCCAGCTTTCATGACAAATAGGTACGATTTAGTTTTTAAAGACATTTCAACATGTATCACACACCGGTGGTTTCTTTGGAGCCTCACATAATACTGATTCATGTTGAAAAATTGCTTGTTTTTACACATAGACAGCATAACTTTGTATAAATATGTGAACCTGCATTCATTTACAGATTGTAAAATTATCAACCACAGTGGCTGCAGAGGCATTGGGCAACTAGACCACTCCTGTCACTTTGCACTTAACGGCTAAAATATGAGTTAAAAACGTTAATACATTTTCAGGTTTTTAACGGCTGTCGTCTGTTGCTTTGTTATTGCTTCGCCAGTGAAGGATGGCACTGACGCATTAAAGTTCTATCAGTAATTTGAGCTCAGGATGATTGGAAGTTATTTTCAGCACCAATATCTCCGTCCAATACACTCAAGTCCAGCGGTCACTCCTCAATCTATTTCTAACGTGTCCTTAGTCACTGTCCATTTAGCTGATTTTTACATGTCTCATCCAGAGGCATATTTCTCCTTTGTTCTCTCGGAGGCCCCCCTGAATGCCCTCTGCGGTGGAGGAGTGGTGTGATAAACAGGCTGGCACCAGAGTGGCTGTCCAGGCCAAAGAAGCGTCCACATCAGTTCTGGGCTCGGGCCCCAGCTCACTGCAGAAGGCTTGGAGGCTTTTCAAATGGCACTGCAGCATGTGAATGTGCCCTTTTTAGTGCAAGCCCTAATTACTGCAAAGTGAATCACAATAAAATAGCATAATTTGTATTTATAAAACAACTTTATTGATGCAATTATTGTTGATGGTCTGATCTTTTTTCCAACCTCCAGTCTTACTGCACATTCTGCTGATGCAATCCCTGATAGTTGACCGTGGTCCTATAAAAGCTGGCGGGTTCCAAACTATTGATTGTGAAATAAAGAGCACTGCGCCATATGGGCTGAAATACAATGTTAGTGTGACCTTTGGTTCAGCTGAAGTCATCAGAGAGAACTTCTAAATAAAAAATGTTTAATAGTAGGCGACAACGCAACTATGAGCAATTTACCCCTCTGCAGATCTGTGTTAGCACCAGGTCTGCAATCTAGGAAAGTACAACACATGCCTATGTATTGCAAATGGAAGAATTTCCATTTATATCAAGTAAACAGTTGTGAAGCATTTACAGCGTGTTAAGAAGCATTCAGAGCCACTTACTGTATGTATATTTTGTGTGCGCTTGCTGTCCTGTATGTGCACTGCAAAATAAAAAAATCCCCACAGTGGGACAAATAAAAGTTATCTTATCTGATCAAGTCATCCATCCATCCATCCATTTTCTACCCTTTAATCCATTTCTGGGTCAGGGGGGTGGCAGTCAGAGATGCCACCCAAGTCTCATAGCACCAGCCCCTCACTGACCCTCTGCAGGTGGTGAGTCCACAGGAGGCGGATCAAGTCAAGTCATATTGCACAATAACCATAAACCAAATGTCTTCACTAAGAGATGACACATTATCAAAACTTGGTGATTGCAATGTTCTATTTCAGAACTGGATCCAAACGTTTTAGTCAGAGGCTGCTTTAGTCCACCAGACATGTCCAGGGGCTCACAACCTAGATTTAAAAAAAAAAAAAATGTTTTTACTGGATTTTGGATATTCTGAGCTTGATGTGGCACTGTATGTCCATATTGATTCACCTTTGACATAACTGAAGTTTACTAGAACTTAAGTTTACAAATGTCAAATGTGGAATATTGTGACACGATCAAAAACAAATGTCTGTATTTGCAAATAAAGTCAACAACTGGATTCCGGAGGTTCTGATCTGCACAAAGAGGTCTGGCAAACCCATATTGGCGGAGCTGAATTTGGCTGTATGACACTAGGGAACTTGTGTCTATGATCTCAAAGATGGCCACATACAACACAGTACAAATTAAGCAGCTGATCAGAATTCAAAAAAACATATTCTGATTGTTCTTGATGATGGAGGGAGAAAATACTGCAGTCGGGCGCTGAATTCAGTGGAATAAAGCAATCCGTAAAGATTATATAAAATAATACATCTTTTTTTGGACATGGCAGGGCCTGAAAGTGGAGTTAAATGCTCGCTTGTCCTCTGGCATCATAACCTCTGTGTTTGGCTGATAAGAAAGTCATTGAGGACAGTCTGGGCTGATGCAGGTGAGCAACAATGACTGGCCATAAATAAATAGCCGCCGGGACACTGCCTGGATAACACTGGTCCTTTTTTAATCAGCTCATGTCTCATTCAATCTACCTTTCTATAATCTACTCCATACTGTATTTATATAGTGGTTTCTGTTCATGAGGTTCACTGTGACTCTCCCATCTTCATCAGAGTGTTTTTCTCCTTACTCCTAATGCGGTGTCCTTTTAGCCATGTTTCAAGAGAAATAGTAACAAAAGCCAATCATGTGTACTTATATAGTATGTTGGGTGTGTGGGTGTGTGTGTGTGTGTGTGTGTGTGTGTGTGTGTGCAGACAGGAGTATTGCACCTTCAGCTGCTGTTGATAGCGCTGGTTTTCATTGATTTACATTTTCCCTAAAGGGTGTTGGAGCTTTGCTGATGCATATAGTGTTGCCCACAGAGATCTATAAGTCTTGAGTTTTGAGGTGGGAGGAATACATTTTGTGGGGAATTTGGAATCGGCTCATTACAGGCCCTGTCACGATACGACCTGGGCATTAGTGATGACTTAACTCAGAATAAATACATCCATAATTAGATTTCTTAAGCATAGGCAGGGGTTCTTGGTGTTAAACTGTTTCTATTTTAGCTAGCTCGATTACACTTTAGAGATTTGAGGTAGATGTATTTTTAATATTGACTTTCCCATCTGACACGCCACTTGTGTTTGAACTGTTTGATTCTCTGATCTGTGCTGGCAAATCGACAACTTTGTAAAGTTCTCTGAGATAACAGCTAATGTGATTTAAGGCTATAAAACAAGAATGACGACTTCACTGATCACATTTAAAGCACTTACTTAAGCATCAAATAGTCATAGGTTCTTTCTTACAATTAACGCGAAAGATGTTTTGCAAGATACAATGAGGACAGCAGGTTGTGGTCTGATTCACAACACTTTACTTTTACTGTCCATTGAACAAACAGTATGTATTTATGGAAGGGGGGGGGGGGGGGGGGGGGTTGGTGACCATTAGATGTGATGTCATGTATACATGAAGCCGGATCAAAAATCACACAATGATACTATTTATAAAGCAGAAACCCAAAAATGACACACAGGAAAATGATATCTTGTTGTAGTAACTCAGTGAATAAATCAAAGTCTCTTGTAGGGTTGTTGCATCATTCATAAATAAAACCGCTTAACCAGCATGTGCAGAGTGACCCAGCGCGGTGTAAAATGCACTGATGTGGACATAGAACTGTAGTCATCCGCAAATACAGATGCATGGGCCAGCACCGAGCCCTGCCCCAGAGGCCGGAGTCAGCAGTCAGCCTGACAACTGTCCTTTGGGGATCGAGCAATCAACAATCTGCCCTCTGAAGATGGGAGGAGAGGACAGGTCAGGAACTAAAGCGTTAAATTCAGTCCCCAGCCGGACTCCCTATCAGTGATAATTAACCATGACCTTTTGTGGTCAACACAGTGGTGACCTCAGTGGTAACTAAAATGACACTATTCCCATTAGAATTAGAGCTCAAATCTGCTAACAATTCAATGTGTGTGTATGTGTGTGCGTGTGCGTGTGTGTGTGTGTGTGTGTGTGTGCGTGCAACCGTGTGCATGTGTGATTAGGTGGCAGACTGTGTTTCTGGATTGATGTCTTTGGTTTGATGTCTTTGGATTGATGACACCTTTATTAGTCTGGTAGCGGGGAGATTACAAGTTTGATTAAGAAACATCAAGTCGTGCAACGAACCCCTAATCCGCACTTCTTTATGATAATTAAGAATAGCAGAGCAGAAACAAACATTTCCTTTTTGGATTGAAGAAAACGCTTTACTTCTGACCTTTCCGAGGGAAGTAACCCAAACCGATATTTACATTACATCTGGTTCCAATCAGTTCCATATAGCCGCTCACGGGAGTCATTGGATTTATTCTGAAGCCCCACGACTTTGTTCTTCCAAGCGTTTATTTCTATCTATGCCAAGTTTTTAAACAAATCTTCAACCGTTAACACATTTTATTTGGATCCCATCGCGTTCTCATTCAGCACCCTGGTCAGCTCCTTATATTTCATCGATAGAGCCTCATACATTTTGTGAGCCTTTTATGATAGACCAGGGCAACTGCCAGCCCAATGAGCAGAAACCCTACCACCGTAATTCAAACTATATATGATCACATCTTCAATGTCCTCAATGGTAAATGGGAACAGAAAAACAGGGTGCCATTTTAACCTGCAGCAGCACCTCTCACGGCTATGTGTCCTGTTCTGTGCATAAAAAACGACACAATTTGAGAGTCCCCTGCCCAAGAAGGGGGGGGATTATCCTCAAGCTGCAATCCCCCACTTGCCGGTCCTATACATTATGTAATGTTGGATATGCCCATTTCTCTAGTTTCAATCTGCACCAATATTCAATTCAACTTTACTACAGACTCTAGGTCCAATTTAAAACATACAGACAGACAAGACAAAAAAACTTTAAAAGACAGCTATACCAATAGATTAGTCATAAGTGTAGACTGAACATGTATGAAAGCTGCAACTGTGACGATGAAGAGGGTCGTGTATGAGGAACGCATACTATATATGAGGAACACTTGAGGAGAGAGGGTGTGTGTGCTGACAGCTTGCTGTGGAAGCTGACAGGGTTTGGTGATGTCATATCTATTGACCGAGTGAGAATAAGAGCATCCAGAGACAGAGGGAGGGTTACACTGCAGTTTATCTGCAATGCATCAGTAGCTCTCTCGGCCAGTCTCTCTCTCTCTCTCTCTGAAACAGAGACAAGCGATTTGTTTTCAGCAGGTAATTCTCACACACACAAACAGCAGAACAAGTGCTCCACAATCTGCTTACACAGGCGGGGAATGCACACGACACACACACGTACACACACACACACACACACACTGAGGCTGGGATAGTCTGGGTCCATCGCTCCGTGTCTTCCATTAATCCTTCACTCAACCTTGGGAACAAGTAGTAAAGGTGGACAGTGGAAGAAAAGGTTTCAAAAGTATCACCTAATCCAAATTTTCAGCATAGAGACATTTCAACTACCATCTAAATGTTATTTTGTTATGATATAAACTGTTAAACACATATTATAAGGCTCATGCTATTACTCCTTCCAAGGTGAGTCCCAGTTGAGTACATTTTAGTGTGAGATGTTTAAGTGCACAGAGCTTAATCAACTTGAGATTTAGTTGCACTGAGCTCATTGCTTCATTTTGGGTCTGTAGAAAATGGGAATATAGTAGTTGTATAGTAGTAGTATCTTATTTGAGATTTGTGTTGGCTGATACAGTATTTTGTCAGTAAGAAAAATAGCTTGCAAATTTGATAAATGTGAAACAGTTTCATTTTCAAATACAATAGGCACCACACAGAAGGCAAATAAAACCCTTTGTAAAACCAACTCCATCTAGCTCAATTAAAGTCACCACACACATGACGCGCAATTAGCCGAGAATAATTTGTTGGCTGTTATATTTAATCAGCAATATTTTTCCTGCTCACATTCTGCTTGGCGGGCTAGTCT